ACGGGCCGGATCGGACGACTATATCATATAGCTGCCATAGGAATGATCGGAAAATTTTTAAAAAAAATTTTTTAACTTTTTCAGTTTTCAATAGAATTGGATCAAATTTGAGATATAGCCATTTTACTATACTCTACAATTTTGCATAAAATTTTATGAAAATCGGACTACTATATCATATAGCTCCCATAGGAACGATCGAGAAATTAATACAATTAAATTTATAACCTTTTCAGTTTTCAACAGATTTTCATCAAATTTTAGGTATAGGCATTTTATATTAAATGTTGTGTCAAATTTCATGAAAATCGGACTATTATATCATATAGGTGCCATACAAACGATCGTTTGATGTAGAGGAAAAATGCAAATCTTTGAATGTAAAACTGCAAATATAATATGTATAGGTGAATACAATGAAAGCAGGTATTACTTCATTGTTTTTTAACACAAATATATATCATTTATATTGTATGGTTTTTTATTCATAGAAGTTCTATCTGCAAGGGTATATAAACTTTGGCGTGCCGAAGTTAGCTTCCTTTCTTGTATATTATTCTACAATTTTGTGCAAAATTTTATCAAAATCGGACTAATATATCATATAGCTCCCATAGGAACGAACGAGAAATTTGAGAGGACTAAGAATGGCGGTAGCTGTTGTTGTTGGAAGACTAACAATCGCCGTGGCGATAACATTTTCAGTTTTCAACAGAATTTAATCAAATTTGAGATAAAGATATTTTATATTATTCTACAATTTTGTGGAAAATTTCATCAAAATCGGATTAATATATCATATAGCTCCTATAGGAACGAACGAGAAATTTGAGAGCACTGAGAATGGCGGTAGCTGTTGTCGGACCGACAATCGCCGTGGCGATAACATTTTCAGTTTTCAACAGAATTTAATGACTGACAATCGCCGTGGCGATAACATTTTCAACTGAATTTACTGACTGACAATCGCCGTGGCGATAACATTTTTAACTGAATTTAAGGACTGACAATCGCCGTGGCGATAACATTTTCAACTGAATTTAAGGACTGACAATCGCCGTGGCGATAACATTTTCAACTGAATTTACTGACTGGCAATCGCCGTGGCGATAACACTTTCAGTTTTCAACAGAATTTAATGAAATTTGAGATATAGATATTTTATATTATTATTTTGTGCAAAATTTTATCAAAATCGGACTAATATATCATATAGCTCCCATAGGAACGAACGAGAAATTTGAGAGGACTAAGAATGGCGGTAGCTGTTGTTGTTGGAAGACTAACAATCGCCGTGGCGATAACATTTTCAGTTTTCAACAGAATTTAATCAAATTTGAGATAAAGATATTTTATATTATTCTACAATTTTGTGGAAAATTTCATCAAAATCGGATTAATATATCATATAGCTCCTATAGGAACGAACGAGAAATTTGAGAGCACTGAGAATGGCGGTAGCTGTTGTCGGACCGACAATCGCCGTGGCGATAACATTTTCAGTTTTCAACAGAATTTAATGACTGACAATCGCCGTGGCGATAACATTTTCAACTGAATTTACTGACTGACAATCGCCGTGGCGATAACATTTTTAACTGAATTTAAGGACTGACAATCGCCGTGGCGATAACATTTTCAACTGAATTTAATCACTGACAATCGCCGTGGCGATAACATTTTTAACTGAATTTACTGACTGGCAATCGCCGTGGCGATAACACTTTCAGTTTTCAACAGAATTTAATGAAATTTGAGATATAGATATTTTATATTATTATTTTGTGCAAAATTGTATTAAAATCGGATTAATATATCATATAGCTCCCATAGGAACGAACGAGAAATTTGAGAGGACTAAGAATGGCGGTAGCTGTTGTTGTTGGAAGACTGACAATCGCCGTGGCGATAACATTTTCAGTTTTCAACAGAATTTAATCAAATTTGAGATAAAGATATTTTATATTATTCTACAATTTTGTGGAAAATTTCATCAAAATCGGATTAATATATCACATAGCTCCCATAGGAACGAACGAGAAATTTGAGAGCACTGAGAATGGCGGTAGCTGTTGTCGGACCGACAATCGCCGTGGCGATAACATTTTCAGTTTTCAACAGAATTTAATGACTGACAATCGCCGTGGCGATAACATTTTCAACTGAATTTACTGACTGACAATCGCCGCGGCGATAACATTTTTAACTGAATTTAATCACTGACAATCGCCGTGGCGATAACATTTTTAACTGAATTTAAGGACTGACAATCGCCGTGGCGATAACATTTTCAACTGAATTTACTGACTGGCAATCGCCGTGGCGATAACATTTTCAGTTTTCAACAGAATTTAATGAAATTTGAGATATAGATATTTTATATTATTATTTTGTGCAAAATTGTATTAAAATCGGATTAATATATCATATAGCTCCCATAGGAACGATCGAGAAATTTGAGAGGACTGAGAATGGCGGTAGCTGTTGTCGGAAGACTGACAATCGCCGTGGCGATAACATTTTCAGTTTTCAACAGAATTTAATGAAATTTGAGATATAGATATTTTATATTATTCTACAATTTTGTGCAAAATTGTATCAAAATCGGATTAATATATCATATAGCTCCCATAGGAACGAACGAGAAATTTGAGAGGACTGAGAATGGCGGTAGCTGTTGTCGGAAGACTGACAATCGCGGTGGCGATAACATTTTCAGTTTTTAACAAAATTTAATGAAATTTGAGATATGGCCATTTTATATTATTCTACAATTTTGTGCAAAATTTTATGAAAATCGGACGACTAGATCATATAGGTGCCATACAAACGATCGTTAGATGCGGAGAAAAAATGCAAATCTGTGAATGTAAAACTGCAAATATAATATGTATAGGTGAATGAAATGAAAGCAGGTATTACTTCATTGTTTTTTAACATAAATATATATAATTTATATTGTATGGATTTCTAGTCATCGAAGTTCTATCTGCAAGGGTATATAAACTTCGGCCTCCCGAAGTTAGCTTCCTTTCTTGTTTTTGATTATATTTTTGAATAAGGTTTGTAAACTCATATGCCCGAAAAAATCAGAGCATCGTTAATTAAAAGTGTAGCAGCGAAAAACTTAAGAAACTGCAGTGAAAACTCCGTTGGGTAATTTAAGAATATGCTCAAGAAATTCGTTTTAACAGTTCCTCTAAAGTTATTTGAATAGTTATTTGAATATGTCATTAAATTTTATATTCAAAACATAAAATGTAATATAATTATTAAATTAGTTTTCAATATAGAGATTAGAAGGTCCTTTTTATCTTTATCAATGATTAACTTCGGTTCATATACTCTATTCAGTCAGGAAAAAACTTGGCAACAAAAACTTTACAAACTGTCCTTTAGGAAAATCAGTCCGCATTTTCCACCTACCTATCAAGGGGTGTCGCTTCGATTTTCAGCTTGGCAAGTTTTGAAATTCAAACGCGTCGCATTCGATTGAGCAGGTCACAATTTATTTGCATAAACCCAGTGACAGAATGGGTAAATATGCGGGAATCCAGGATCTAGAATCGGAGGAAACCACCACGTGGTAATGCCTCATGTTTGTCCAAGAGCGGGGGAAATCGATGATGCAGCTGGTGCAGCTGAAGCCAAAGTGGCCAAGTTATTGAATAGTTACGACAAGTCATAATATAAAATAATCCCCAACTGACTTTCTCCCACTTTTTCTTTCTCTTCAGCGACCTGCTGAAGAAGCTGTCAGTGAAGGCCGGGCTCATTGGCTGCTTCCGGGGCCTGGTGGTCAACGGGGAGATTCTGGACATTTACAGCTACATGTCGGTGCATCTGTCGGAGATTATCAAGGACTGCAAGCCCTCCTGTGTCCCATCGCCATGTCGCAATGGAGCCCAGTGCAAGGAGCTCTGGAGCAGCTTCAAGTGCGTCTGCAACAATCCCTGGGCTCACATTGGAGAGTTCTGCGAGACAAGTGAGTGCACAAGGAGAAATTTCCTTTAAAAAGTTATTAAAAATGTAATTTAGATATTGAATAATTTTTAGCTAAAGAAAGAAATCCTTCTGAAACATAATACCCTTATAAACTAAAGCTAAATTGCGCAGTCTAGGAACTAACATGAGTCAGAACTATATCCAACATACACAATATATACAATATTTATCATTTTCTCTAATATATTTTCCCATAGTGTAATTTCCTTTCAATTAACCCCTTTTCGTTTAATTTAAATTCCTCTGAATCCCTCACAGATATAAACGAAAAGGCTCTGACCTTCATCAACCGCGAGTCCTTCCTGATGCGAAACTATCTGAGCGTGACTGCCACTCCTGCCATCTTAATGCATGGCATCGAGGCCGAACGGGATGTCCTGAAGGGCATCCTTCATCAGGATCTACTGATTAATCTTCGAACCTACGATACGAATGCATTGGTCCTGTATGCCAATGATCATTACAACAACTTTGTGCACTTGTACATTAGCCTTAACCGGGAGATAGTATTCCTGTACAATTATGGTGATGAAATTGTGAATCTTACTTTGCTGGACGATACCCTGGTGGCCTCTCTGAAGAGCATCCAAGTGGCCATAGTTCGTGGGGAACAGGAAACCAGGATGCATGTGAATCAGCGGAGTGTGAGCATTGATAGGGGAACATTGCTCCTAGATGAATATGCCAATAAGCCGTGGAGTAATCCCGAAAAGGGTGAGTTTACAAAGTATTTAATTTTAAAGAAAAATGAGTAGATGTAAATTATAAATGTAAATTTAAACTATAAAGATCAAAATAGGTTCTAAGGTTCGTTTTAAGTGTACTTTGTAGATATTTTCCCTTTAAAAATGTCAAGAAAATGCACTAACCACAAGTACTCTTAGAATCCATCAACAAAAACCACTTTAATAGAACAAAAGATGTATGTGTATGACAGCCTTTCACACAACTCAAACTTCATAACCATTTTTCATTAACAATAGTGAAATAATAGCTAGGCACAATTTTAAATTCTTTAATCATATTGTGACAATTTGTTTTACATTGCTATTTTCGGATTTGGATTAATGTCGAGTCCCAAGTATTCCCTTTCCCCGTAACTATTTTCGTCACTTCCAGCGGCTGCCCATCTTTGAGGTCTTGCTGTGGGCATTATTGCTGCTATTCTGATGCTGTTCATCCTGGGCGGCCAGTTCCTCGTCGATGAGTAATTCAAAATTACCCAAGGCATCGGCACTGGGTACCTTATTCCAACGCACATCCGGTACTCCATCCGGAGGCAAAACAACCGATAAGATATTATCAATAAGCTTATACTTCAGGATGCGATCGTTGACAGTAGTTGAAGTTAGCGAAGGCGAGGCATTGACTTCTACCAACCAGGGTTTCAGGGCATTATCTATAATGATATCATAGCCATAGCATTCGAAGCAATGCCTATCACTGGCCATCACTGGAGCCACTGCTCTCAGGGAATGGACTATAAGCCAGGATATAGCACCAAAGAGGCGATCTGTGACCTCCTTTCCCCGGGTTCCCTCCAGATATAGAGCCAGATTCTGGACAGACCATTTCCCACCATGCAGGGTATTATATTCGCCGCCATGTTTCTGCACACTCACATTGGTCAGATGAACGTACATATTATCCAGTTCCGTGACACTTGTATCATATTTAACCGTACAAAATCGACAGAATCCTTGCTTGAAGAGATATGCCTTCAAGGGCCTAAAGGATGCCACTAAGACGTACAGACGTAGATCAAACTTTTTGCCACCAATTAGCAGGGGATTATCGATATACCTGGATATTACATACGATTCCTTGGCGATTTGTGGATGGAAAGGACCTTTGGCCTCCCTGGACCACTTTTTGAGCTTAGAGAGTTTGTTAATAAGGAATATACCAGCTCCCTGGGACTTTCCACAGGGTTTCATAATCCATGTACTTAGCGGAAACTTCCTGTACTCCTCGACAAACATATTATAATCAGCTGGCAGGACAAATGTGGTGGGCACAAAATCCAAATAGAGATATCTAGTGCCACTCGAGTTGTTCGATTCTGTTTTCTCGGCCAAAGGATTGCCATCCCTTTCGAGGTCCTTGCGATACCGCTTGATATTCTTCACCAGCAGGTCCTTACGCGACAATTCATAGTGATTGGGAAAGTGATTGATCATCTGATTGTCATGCATCCGATAGCCACTGTCCACGCTGAAGATATTCCTGCAAGTCTGGACTCCTGCCCAGTAAAAGTGCCAGTCGTCGTCGCCATTCACCTGATGCCATCCCCGCTTCTCGAAGTTATTGACCAACACGGACTTATCCAGATCCGTGCAGAAGCCAATTTTCATCTTGTCATGTCCTTGGCCACCTCCGGTACCGCTATTTCCTCCACTATTAGTGGTGCTATTGGATGCACCCGCTTGATTGGAACCGCCCGCCTGGCGACCGTACATTGTGGGCGCTGTACCGCTCGAGCGCCGCGTCGGTTGAAGACTGTCTAACCGCCACGCCGGCGTCCAGTTGGCCAGGTCCCAAACAACGCTCATGTTGCCAGGAGTTATTGAACCAACAATGCCGAAATATATATATAAATATATATATTTACACAACCCTTTTTGTGTTGCCAGGCTGCGCGGCTTCCTTTTTTTTTTTGGGGAGGTTATTCCCCTTCCTTGTTTTTCGCTCCGAAAATTTGCAAATAGTTTAGCAAGTTAAGCTGCAAAAATGCCAAAAATTTCGCCAAAAACAAAATCTCTGCACTGCGTGTGTGTGTGTGTGTGTTGGCAAAATTATGTGCACTTGAATTTTTTCCCTTGCTGTTACCATACACGTGAGTGTATGTGTGAGTGGTAGAAAACTGTTGGAAAATAAACGCCAAGCGAATGGATAAAGTTTTTCTCTGTGGCATAAAAACAACGAGTTGCTTTGTAGTTTGTAGATATTTGAAAAGCTCTTCTTTTTTTATATCTTGCTTTGTTCACTCAATATGTAAATTAAACGGTATTCGAATGGCAGATAGAATGCGGAAATTGTTGTTAAATGGCAAAATGCATGCATATCGAGTTGATTATGATCTGAACGGATTTCTGCTTTTTTAAGTTCGAGGAATTTGCAGAGCAAATTTTAGGCAAATAGTTTAGTAGTTTGTATTCAAATAAAACCAATTGTAAAGGATATTTTTTAAATGGCTGTGTTTTTTGTTTTTAGTTACTTATTTTTCTTAAATTCGCAACATATTTTGAAACTCATTTTAAGTACTATTGGATTGTCTTTAAGGAACTTGCTAAACCTATTTTGTGGGCATTTTATGTTTGAATATTAATAAACTTTTGTGTAGCATTTTATGTGATTTTTAGAGATTTTTTAAGGCTGTTTTTCGAAAGGTATTTTAGATGTTTGGGGTGGTATTTCAGTTGGTTTTTGATGAAGTTTGTGAGAAGGTTTTTGAAGAGTGTTTTCAGTAGCTTTGCAGAGAAATTTAGGACTAGTTTATACGAATGTTTTCGATAAAGATTTGTAGAAGGAATTAAAAAGGTTTTGAGAAGGGTTTTAAAAAATCTTTTAAGAAAGTTAATAGAAAGATGTTTAAATAGTTTCTGGTTGAATATTAGTCTTCTCTTAATATATTTTGTAAATATGCTCTTTGGTGTTCTTTAGTTTTATAAACGTTTGTTATTTAATTTACTGTCAATATATTTTATATATTATATAAATTTGTTATAAATGCAAAAACCAGAGGATCACTTAACCCATCATCAGCATTTATATACTATTTTCAAAAGCCTATCAATCGCTCATCAATTAAACCTGAATCACATGCTTTTGGGCAATAATATTTCGAAATTATTGCACCTCAAAACGTCTCTCATTGCTCGTAACTTACCTTGCAATTGAATTTAATGGAAAGGTTTCAAATCAAAAAGCTATAGAGCTTTTGGCAATTGGCAAAAGAGAGGTAAGAGAAGAGCAGAATCAATCAAATTGCCCGTAACTCAATGCGAAAGCGATTTGCCATCAAAATCAATCATAATTACTCCACGTTTACTGGGCACTGCGTTTCGATTCGATTTGAATTCGAATTCGAATTTGGTCAATACTTTGCACAGAATAACACATAAGCACTTTTGTAATTAAATGCGTTAACCAGAGATGGACTCTGAATCCTGCCACTGCGATTCAGTTTAGATTGCCGCGCTCTGTCGGCTGGCAAACATTTCAATTAGACAAACTTAAACTCGAAATTGATGGGCCTAAACCTCAAAGGGCCGGCCTGGGCCGGGGTCTGACCGGAGCAGCCCAGAGTCCTGGAAAGGGTGTGGATAAGGGTATGTGTCCGGGTCGCCGGCAGCCTGGCTAAAACCCAAAATGCCACGGCAATGAAGGCTCATTTCCGCAGACGCACACATAGAAACGCGAGCTTACATAAAGCAACCGGAGCCAAAATTGTGCACTGTAAAAAATATGGGTTCTTTGGATTTGTTTGTAAAGAATATAAATTAAAAATTTTTAAGTATATAAAAGTAAATATTAACAATATTCTAATAGTACAATTCTTTTTTTTTAAGTATTACACGTACCATTGCATTCTTACATTATCATTGTTCTTAATGATCTTATATTCATAATTTTAATCTATAACTCTTATAATCCTATAACACTTATATTTAACTACTTTACCAAATCTTTTATTAAAACTTATTTTATAATAAATTCATAATTGTCAATAATTAAAAAAAATTTTAAAATAAAACTCACAAAAAAGGGACTAACTGCGGAAGCCAACTTCGTAAAGCCGAAATTTGTTTACTAAATTGAATATACATATATTCCTTGTTGCTTTACATAGATTCTTATAAAAATTCACTTATTGCCATAATGAAAGCTATATATTTAATCTTATTTAATATAAGTAACATTATTTATAAGTTTAAATAATATTCTACTCTTGTTCCTAAGTTATTTAAAACAACAGAATTAAAACGAAATTTCAGAAATGCCAATTTCTCAAATTAGAATATTTTTGAGGGAGTTTAAAAATATGTTTATAATAATATGCCCATTTCTGGGTATTCTGCTTATAATTTAAATCATATTTTTAATCATTTTTATTTATATATATATTATTTAGGTATATATATTTTTTCCAGTACCATTATAGAGACCCAAAACCCATACACTCACTTTGCACACCCGACCGTTTCTCATTTGATTTTGTTTATTTGCAGAGGTTCTGTCGCCGCACCGTCCGCCCGCACCGCCCACCGAGTACTTCCAGCTCCACGTGGGCGGCTATGATCCGGCGAATTTGCTGCGACCAAATGTGGATGCACCCGCTCTCGATGGCTACATCGGATGTGTGCGGGGCCTGAAAATCGGAGCGCAGTTGATCGACTTGGCGGAAATCAATGAAAGGAATATAGCGCCCAGTAAGTAGGCAGTATAAATCAATTTTCACTGAGTGCAGTTTCGGGTCGCTTCTAATGCCATTTGGTATTTTGGCGGGCGGATGGAAGACTCCTCCTCCTCCTTCGACGCTGATTCATGGGCTCCGCCCGCTGCCACTCCACTCCACTCCGCTCCTCTCCAGCGTCTGCGGTTGCAACTGCGGCTGGTTATGTGGTTGCATCCGTGGTTGTGTTTGCAACAGAGCCTCGTCTAACTTAATATGCATGCAATTTCCGTTAAGTGCTGGCGACTCCTGCGAGAGTGGCGATAGTACACGAGCTGGAGCAGGACGAGAACGATGAGCCACTCCTGGCCACTTTGGGGCCGTGCCAAGATTAATGCCAATGCGATAAGCAGCGGGCCCACATGGCGTATGATTTATGCGGCCACGCATCGCGGAAATTGCAACCTGACTTTGATGCGATTAAAACCGAACCCTCAGTCAAAGTAAATACTTTGATTGGAAATTGAGGAGTTTGGAGGAGCATACTCCATGAAATAGGGTCTTAGTTTAATAGAAGCCTGACTGATTGATATAATGAGAGTTGTAGAGAGTTCTTTATAAAGATTAACTACTTGACTTTATAGTTGTTGATTTAATGACTTAATTATACATTTTTATATATATATGTTCTTGATTATTTTCCTCTACCTCCTTTAAATTCCAGTCCAGGATGGCGTTCTGCCCAACTGCCAGATTAAATGCGATGCGGAGCCCTGCAAAAATGGCGGCACCTGCCAGGAGCATTTCGCCGAGCAGGTCTCGACCTGCGATTGTGAGCACACCAGCTTCCTGGGCGAGTTCTGTTCGGAGGAGAAGGGAGCCGACTTCAGTGGCGAATCCACATTGCAACGCAAATTCGAACTGCTGCCGGGCATGGGTCGCGTTGACTATGTCCGCCTGCAGCTGGCCTTCTCGTCCTTCGACCTGCGACGCGCCAACCGCATTATGCTCCTGATGCAGACGGCGGCCGAGCGTAGCTACTACCTTCTGCTGGCCATCACCTCCGATGGCTACCTGCAGCTGGAGGAGGACCGCGATAATGGCCGAACTGTGGGCGCAAGGATCGATAGGAATTTCCTGAACAGCGCCAGGCACTCGATCTATTATGTGAGGAATGGCACCCAGGCACAGCTCTACATAGATCGCGAGCAGGTGCCGCTGACGGAGTTCGCCGCCCGGGTCCTGACCACCGGCGGTGAGGCGGGCTCGAATCGGGTCCAGATCGGTGGCATTAACAGCACAGACTCGCGGTTTGCCGTCTTCAAGAGCTACAGCGGCTGCCTGTCGAGTGAGTGTCGTAAATTTAAGCCCCATCCGCCATTAATATCTTCTCGGTCTCATCAAGTGACATCTCCCTGCATTCCATTCACTGAGATAAAATAATCAAGGGAATATAGTAAAAAATAATATAAATAGTAAAAGAAAATATAGAGAAATTATAGAGGAGCTTTCATTAAAGCTTTTCCTATAGAAACTTAAGGAAACATTACCTGTAAAATCTAAATGGTAGTCCTTAAAGTTAAAGTAAGAATATAAACTTATCCCTTCTTTGGTACCCATATATTTCATTTTAGAAAGTAAATGTAATACTTAAATTATTTCTCTTATCTCCGAAATAGTTTCCTTCCAAGAAATACTTATTTTCTTTAAGTGTCCCCTACTCTTTACTCCAGCAATTTTATGAACTGAACTGAGCTGAGCTCTGAGCTCTCAAAATGTTTCGTCTAGGCGGGGGGAGGGGATGATAGTGCTTGCTGCTTTCACATTGTTGACCAAAAAATTAAATTTATTCGCTGCCATAAAAAGTCATTTCCGTGGATGTTGGCGTCGCTTGCCATAAATTCTGCCAGTTTTTTCTCTCAAGATTTACAGTGGCTCATATTTAAATTGCTGCTTTGCTGCCACTCCAAAACCGCAGCACAGTGGCCAACACTTTGATTAAAAATTCACCCATGTTCCCCCGGCACATTTACCCCTCTGGTCACCAGTTGATATAACATCTGTTTATAGTGCCACGCCCACTCACACACACACACACACACACACCACATGTGGGGGGCGGGCCGTAAACCGTTGTCGTACTCGATCATCATTCCATTAAAGAGCCATTGGGAAAAGGCGATAGTTGTGGGTCATAAAATAAGGCGTATTTAGCAAGTTGGCACAGTGGGAAATATTTTAAATAAATCGAGGATGATTAAAATATATATTATATTTATTTAAATTTTAGGGAAATATTTCAAATATTTAGAATTGCTTAAAAGGGAGAGAAATTGCTATGTTATCG